AGCTAATGAGGCCTCAGGCGCCAGGACCTTGCGGGGCTTGTCTCAGCGGCACTGCTGAAAGCACGCCAGAAGTCAGCCTGGTGGCCACTGTATTAACAGCCCGGATCCTTAGAAGCCAGCAAACATGGCATCTGGGCCCTGGGCTGCTTCACGTTGGACCTCAGCTGTGAGGGCCAGAGTTAGGCTTTGGGGTGGCTGAGGCCAATGCCATCAAGCTTCGGACCTCCCCAGCACTGCAGCGAGGGAGAAGGGTGCCGCTGAGGTGGGGGAAGCGATGAGCCCCAAAGGTGTTCAGAGCCCCCTATCCAGCTTCTCCTGAGAGCCAGCCTCCAAGTGGCAGATCAGTGGGCTGCGGAGCACGTTTGAACAGCGCTATCCAACCGGCATATGATGTGAGGCCACATGCGTCATTTTAAATGGCCTTATGGCCATGTGAAAAAGATTAGAAAGAAAATCAGGTGAAATTAATAATGTATATTGTTTAGTCTACTATGTCTCAAACAGCATCATTACAACATGTACTCAATGTAAAAATTATTAACGAGGCACTTTACATTCTTTAATTAGTACTAAGTCTTTGCGGCCCAGTGCATATTTAACCCTTGAAGCGCATCTTACTTTAGGCTGGACACATTTCAAGGGCTCGTTTCACGTGGCGGTTACTGTACGAGCTCTCAGCATAGCCGGGTGAGTTGAAATTCCATGAACTATTGGTGGGACCTTTTATAAATTACTTACCCTCTCTCCCTCAGCCTTGTCCTTTACGAAATGGGGATGATAGTAACAGTACCTATCTTAGAAGGTTGTTATGACAATATATACTGTCCCTGAAATAAGGTGTGGCATACGGTAAGTGGTATAAAAGCATTCCCTATTATTATTTCATTATTTCTTGTCCTTCTTAAAATCAAGCAAGAGAATGGATGTTGGTAGTAAAACATGATGCAAAAATGTAGGCCTTGTTTAAAATTGTGATTGTCACCAACTGCAGTTGAGCGAATGAAAAAGTCCTCACCTCCCTCCATGTGTCCTGTGGCATTTCAGGTAGAGGCCCCTGCATTCTTCTAATCAAGTCTCCATTTTCATGTAAGCTAGTTTGCGCTGTGTCTCTTCAGTTGCTACCAAACGAGAATCCTAAAGAGGCTCGGCCTTTGCTCCTGTTCTGTGCTGAGGGCAGCGGGGGGCTGCCTCGGCCCTACATCTGTGAGCCCCCTGGGGTGTTCATGCTCCATGATACAAAGACACATGAGTCGATGGGACAGTGCTTAGCTCTGCAAGTGACAGCATGTGTGCCGGTGCTCGGCATCACGGCTTGATGAGGATGCCCAATAAATGGCGTTGCTTATTCTTATTGCCTTTGGGGCCAGACACTGGGGATCTGGAATGAAAAGGTGTGGTTGCCACTCTTACAGGGCACATGGTCTGGTTACCCTGAGGATCCAGCCTGGCATACCTGTGTGACCAGGGCAGAAAGCACACCTTGCTCCTCCTTTCTCTTTGTAACAGGCTCTCTCTCAAAGAGCAGCCAGGACCACGCTGAAGGCAGGGAGAGGAAATTTGGGGGTTAGATGATCCCTTGGAATGGTATAGAAGGGACCATGCTTGAAGATCCAGGACCTGAGGGAGAGGGACAAAGTCTGAACTCTGAAGGGCTGGAGAGGAAAGGCTAGGTTTTCCTTGACTTCCCTGGGCTTGCTGGTCTTCATGGAGTCACTTCCAGTCAGACCCTGACAGACATTCGGGGTTAAAGATCTGACACAAGACTGGCCTTTCAGAAGCACAGAGCTGGTCTGGTGGCTAAGAAATGGTTAAGAATCAGTTTCTAGCTGTTTGGCTTCTGTCAAGTTATTGAAACTCTCTTAGCCTCAGTTTCCTTGTCTGTAAAATGGGAAAAACAGTATTTTAATCGTTTGAATTTGAAATAGCATGATCCAAAAATATTTAGGGTTTCACTTTATGTGTGAAAATTTGTCAAGAACCTTGCAAGGCAGCATGAATTACAACTTGTAAACTGTGTTTATGCTATAGCCACATGAGACAAGCTGTATTCTAATAGATAAACAGAAATACTGCCATCCTTAGCAGGTGAGTTTTGACTTATACCAGCTTGAATTATTTGAGGACTTTAGGAATGTCACCCTGAGTAATTTCATTGCCTGTACCTCCCTTTTAAAGTAACTATGAATATTAAATAAGATAATGCAGTAACCAGCCCATAGGAAGCACTCAGCAACAGTAGTAATGTTATCCTGATATAACAATAATACAGTAATACCTTGGTTTGCAAGCATAATTTGTTCTGGAAACCAACTACTCATATTGCAAGGCATTGCTTGTTTACCACGTCAAAATGTATTAGAGGGCCGGCCGAGTGGTGCATTGGTTAGGAGTTGGCTTGGGACGCCAGCTCTGAGCAGCAGGGCCCCGGTTTGGATCCCATATGGGGGCCAGTGACGCTGCCCTCTACAGCTAAGATGGTGAACAACAGCTCGACCTGGAGCTGGGCTGCTGTGAGTTGCCAGCGACGGCATAGGCTGCAGTGGGGCTGGCCGGCAGCCAGCGTGAGCTGCCGTGAGCCACCGTGAGCTGCCATCCAATGGCCGGCGAGCGACTGCCTCACCTGGGAAGAGCACAATGATAATACCAACATGGGCCAGTGAAGCGACGTCCTCCACAACTAGACTAAAGAACAAAAGGACAGCAACTTGTCTGTTCCCCTTCCCCGATACCCCAAGAAAATCTTAAAAAAAAAAAAAGTATCAGAAATGTTTGCTCATCTTGCGGAACACTCTCAAACCAAGTTACTTGCAATCCAAGGTTTTACTGTGTGTGAAAACAAGGAGAGAGATGACAAGAGAAGTTAAAAGATATTATCATCCCCAGGAGAGAAAACAGAGCTCAGAAAAGTGAAGTCATTTTTTCCCAGGTCAAAGCTGGGATGGAACCCAGGCCTGTTAACTCAGGGGCCAGGGCTTATGTCCATAAAGCCTTAACAGGGCAGCTCTGTGTGTGTGTGCGCGTGCGTGTGTGTGTGTGCGCGCGCGCGTGTGAGAGCGTGTGTGTGTGTGTGTGTGTGTGCGCGTGAGAAGAAATAAGTCATTTACAGAAATGCACAAACCCCAGGGAGGATTATTTCCTTGAAAAAAGGTTCGGTATCGAATTCCTTTCAGAAGTAAACCTGGACTAGAACTTGAGTAGAGCTCCAGTTTGTGCAGGAGTTCATCTCACAGAGGTGGAGCCAGGCTGGAGGCCTTGGCCCTGGAGGAAGGAGTGTGTCTGTAGGGACTCTGTTACCCAATGAAGAATCTGGGAGTAGGAAGCAGCAGAGCCGGGGACAGTGGGAAAGAAGGTCCTGTTGTCCCCTCCACTCAGCTGATGACGATGAGAGAAGGAATAGCACGCTAGGGCAGAATGGAGGCATTTGCAGAGACAGAAGTCACTTCTGGGGGATTTTTCTGAATATTTGATGGAGGCAGAGTAGCTTTAATGATGACCCCAGGCTTGTGAGAGAAATCTTGATTCATTGGTACAAGGACATACTGTGACACCATTATAAGAACAAAGTAGATCTGTATATGCAGAGATGGAAAGATGGCCAAGATACACAAAGTGAAAAAACCAAGTTGTAGTATAGAATGTAAAGAATGATTCTCTTTGAGTTAAAAAAAGATAGTCACACAAATATATACGGAATTTCTGGAAGGACACAGCATCTTGTTGAAGACATTATCTTTCAGAATTAGGGAAGGGTGTGTGGGCATTTGCTTTTCACTTTCTATCTTTCTGATGTTTAAGGATTCGAAGACAGGCAAGGTTGGTGTCCCTGCTAAGGGGTGGGGACGAGTCAGGCATTTGGGAAGAAATGGGCTCTGTGGTGCACTTGATGTGTTATCGATAGAATGAGGGGCAGCAGTGAGGCTCTGAAAGTGTGGAGGGTCTGACAAGTTGGCAGTTGAAAGTGGGCATCATGGCTATGATGGCCAGATAACAGGGTAAGTCAGAGGAGAACTGCGTGTGGGGGGGGGAGAAATGGAGATGGGAGAGGACAGCCTTCAAACAATGCTCACCGAGCATCACCCTTGGGACATTGTTGTTGCTACAGCTGCTGGCGCAGTATGGCAGGGACACAGGGTCGCTGGGAGATGGCCAGTCTAGGGGGTGACTCTTGAAGGGTTCTAGGCAGGAGAGTTTCGCGGTAAAAGAACAGAGATGGATGGGTTCCAGTGAGGTTGTGCAAAGGAATCATGATGTTAGGGGGCAGACTTGGGCTGGGAGGCTACTGGGGGCCACAGCGACGTTCAGCTGAGAGATTCAGTCCCAGAATGGGGCAGTGGCAGTGTGGATGGAGAAACACGAACAAAATAAAGAAGACAAAGCTTGCAGACAAGTAGTTTGGAGGAGTAGGGAGAGTGAAGTGAGTTCTGAAGAACTGGGTGCAAATCTCAGCTTGCCGTTCCGTACCTTTTGAGCTCCGTTTGCCCATCTGTATAATGTATTTAAACAAATATTGTGAAGCGCAATTGAGATAATGCACTCGATAAATGTTAACTATCATTGTTAGCTCAGGTATTGGACTCAGACTTAACCAGCGTTCAAGTCCCTTTACTACCAGTTACTAGCTGTGCAGCCCTGAGCAAGTCATTAACATCTCTGATCCTGGTTCCTCTTTTGCAGATGGGGGATAACCTGTTGTCATGGAAATGAAACAGCACACGCAGAGGGCTGACAGGGCTTGGCACAAAATAGGTGCTCAATAAATGGCAGAGCTATTAGTATCAACAGGTAAACCACTGAGCACAGAGCCTGGCAGGCGCTCGATAAATGTTAATTCATGTTATAATTCACAAGGCAGAGATGGAGAGCTGGGAATCTGCGGGCTGCCCGGCTTGCAAAGAGAAAGCGCCCGCAATCGTTGCCCCCCCCCCCCGCCACCGCGTCCCAGCACCGCGTATCCTCCCCTCCACGCCCGCACTTTTCGCGGACAGCGCGCGGTCACTCACCCTCGCTGCCGCCGGCCACCTCCAGGAGCGTCCGGAGCGACTAAGCGGTCGGCTGTTCTCCGCGTCCCCGCCTCCCGCGGCCACAGCAGCCCGCTCGGCGCCTGCCCCAGGCATACTTTTTCCATCCCGTCACTAGCGAGAGCGCCTTCCTCCCGGTCACGTGGGCAGGCCTGCAGCACAGCGCTCTCCGCTCGGAGTCGGTTTGGAAAAAACTTCCAGCACAGGTGACCCCTTGGGCGTGCCAATGCATCTCTGCGTGTGTAGAACCTGTCGTTGTATTTGGAGGTTTACGTGCACGAGAGTGATTGTTACCCAGGAGTTTGCAAAGATGTGGGCACGTCTGCATGTGTCTGAGGAGCCATCTGTGTTGCTTGCGTGTGAGCATTCATCCTACTGTGGATCTGCGGATGCGTGTGGGCATGACAGCTTACAACAGAGTCCATTTCCTTGTGTACTGGATGTGCATGCACGTGAGCATGATTAAGAATCGTCTGTACGTGTTTAGTTGTGTGTGTGTGTGTGTGTGCGTGTGCGTGTCTGTGTGTGTGTCTGCAAACATGCATCAGGGCTTGTGGATGCACATTCACATGCACAGGCCCAAGACTGCAGGTTGGTGTGCAACCGAAGTGTACTCCCGTTGCTGGGTGTACACAATAGTGGCTGGCTATCTGTGTGTTGAGTGTATGTTTAATGTGTGTACAAATATGCATAACCACATATCAGTGTGTATGTGCATGATGTCTATGTGACACCTGTTTGTGCAGGGGCTCATTCTTATATGTATGCATATCTTATATGTGTGCTTATATGTACGCATGTCTTGGTGTCATTTTCATCTAAGTGTGAGTGTGCACACATGTAACAGTGTGGATAGGTGCCCTGAGTGCAGCGTTCACCTCCCTCCTCCCCAGGAGTTGAGGCTTTGCTGGCCTTATTCTCTGGCCCAGCTCTGCTTGAGATTCCCAGATCCCAAAGCAGAGTGATCCTGTTTAGGTAGTAAGCGTTCAGTAGGGTTAAGAAAGGTCATCAGAGGCCTGGCTTTTGCTTCTCCCTCTTTCTTCCGCTGCTGTCTTCCACTAGGTACCAGTCCTTCACTCGGTTGCCAGAGCATTGGGTTAATGGATGGTACTGGACCCAGGGTTTACAGTCAGAATTTTAATGCAGGTATGTATTTAAACTCTAATGCTTGTTTCACCACCTTAGACAAGTCAGTTACCCCATAGGTGGTATTTCATTTTCTGAGAAGTTGGGAGAATAATAATGATATTGCTGCACTATCTTTACCCCCAAAGTTGGGACTGTCACTCATAAAGGTAAGCCATTGAACTATGTAGAGAGTTATTACTTATATTACATAAGTATTACTAGAGGATAAAAGGTAGCGGGCTCAACAAACATTCATTCAGCAAACATTTAATGAACATCTATTATGTGTCAGTCCCCAAGGTAGGTGTGAGCATATAGAGGTAAACCAAATAGGCTTGGTGTCTGCACTCATGGAACTTAAGGGTCTAGCGAGAACAATGCAAGTGGCTTCATGTGACATGAGTGTTACAGAAGAGAAAAAAACAGAGTATAAAACTGGGTGGTCAGGGGAAGGCCTGGGGAAGTGAGGTTCAGTTGAGCCCTGAGGGATGGCTGAGACTGGTCTGGGTGTAGGGGAGGTGTGAGCTCTAAACACGAATGAAGGATGACATGTGACATAGAGTGCAGTGTGTTGATTCACAGGTGGCTGGAAAGGGGACCTCTTTCCACCACCCTCTCTGGGTAAGTTGGTCTGTTCCCAGGTGTGTCAAGAGTTGAAAAGGTGAGGAAACCCTACTTAGAATGCCTGGAGGCCCTTTAGAATCTAAAAGGCACGGGAAAGCACCTCTCCCAGGGTACAGTAGGAGTCTCTGTGTGTTACCCTCAGGGTTGCACAGCAACAGGGGTTGAAATCACGGGCATGTTCTTGCTGGTAAAACGGTTAGTGAAAATCATAGGAAAAGGCATTGCTGCCACGCTTGGCACCCCACAAGCATTTGATACATGTACATGGGCTTAATGAATGGATGTTTCCCCAACTTTTGGAGGAGACCTGGAATGGAGGTCTCCTGAAGCCCAGCTGAGTCCTTGGGGCCTTCTCTGTGGGTTCTTGGGTTGGTGATGGCTTCACATAGCAGGAAATCCAAAATACTCATGAAATGGGTTTCAGGATATGCCTCAAGCTAAAATGGGGCTCAGAACTTTCTCCCTCTAGCCTATTTCTGTCCTTAACTCAGTCCATAAACATTTATTACTAATGATGAATGTGCGGACAAGGAGATGAGCTTCTGCTCTTCAAGGAAAATGAATGAGAACACAAACTGCTCTAAGAGGCAAAATGCAATCGTGCCACAAGAAAGATATAATATAAAGTGTAAGAAACGAGGAGGCTTTTCTCTTTTGATTCAGCTAAATTCACTTCATATCTGTTCATGCCTATAGAATATGCCCAGCATCAAACAAGAAAAGATGAATGACATTGTGACATTGATGACCCCCGAGTTTACAAGCTGGCAGGGGCAGCCATGTGGTAGATTGACTTGTTACACATATGTCCAAAACCATGATGGTGCAGAGTTTGTGAGAGAACTTATTATTTTGATTGGAAGATCTGGGAACACCTCTTAAGTAGGCAACGTTTAAGCCGAGTCACAAAGGATACAAAAGGGCCAGCCATGCAAAGGCGGCAAAGGAGGAGTGGGGAGAGCTCAGGCAGAAGGAGCAGAGTGCGGAAAAGCTACATTAGTTAGCCTTGCTTGCTTCACATCTTTCTAATGCTTCCGTGTCGTAGTTATAGGATAAAGCCTGAGCACCTTAGCCTTTCTGTAGCCTCATGAACTGAAGGGCCTCCACGATTTGACATCTTTCCAGCCTCTTCTCCTATTTTTCCTGTATGTTAGGATTTCTCAGGCCCAGCACTACTGACATTTGGGGCTGGATAAGTCTTCGTTGTGGGGACTGTCCTGTGCATTATAGGGTGTTGAACAGAGTCTCTGGCCTCTACTCACTAGATGAGAATAGCAACCTCTATCCGCCCCCCACTGGTGTGACAACCAGAAATATCTGTAGACATTGCCAAATGTCCCAAGAGGGGCGAAATCACCCTTCGTTAGGAGCCCCTGCCCTATGGGTAGCCCTGCTCTGGTCAGGGTAGAATCCTTGCTGGATCTTAAATGAACTTTCACCGTCTACGTTTCTGCACCTCTGCTTATGCAGTTCCCTCTACCTAGTGCCCACTCTTCCGCCTCTCCTCAGAACCTTACTCAAATGTCTACCAGAAACGCATGGCTTTTATCTGCCCGGTATCCCTCTGTTGTTGGGAAATTCTGTATGGGTGATTCTCAGGTGTACTGGGCGGTGCGGAGAGTGGTCCATCCTAGCGCTTTGCCTGCCCTCTGGCTGCAGGGGTAGGGGCATGTGGACCGGGTACCCTTTCCTTTCATGCCCAGTTAAGAGTCCTAACTGGGCATGAGACCCAAGGAAAGCCAATCAGAATCTTTTCATGTGGTCTCCACGAGAGGGCACTGCTTTTCTTCTGAATTGTGAACTGTAAGGCCATGGCCCTGGGGTACCACTAGCCTAAGTCCTACCACTTGGAGAGAGGCTGCTTGTGGCAGGTGACAATTACACCAACACAAGTAGAGGCAGATTCAAGGAGAACTGAAAGGTGCAGAGCAAGTGCTACAACTACATTATCAGAGTCCTTTGTTCAGATACTTGAGCTAAAACAGTAGCATTCTCATATTCTTTCTTTCGTTAAGCTACTTTGAATTGTCTCTCAGTTACCATGGAAAGATATCCTAATGCAGTATCTTTCAATGCCTAGTTGAAATCTCTGCTCTTCCATGAAGTCCTCTCAACACAAAACAGTCAGAAGAAAATGCTTTCTTTGAATTCCCAACTGGAGGTTTGCTGGAGCCAGCAGCCAATTCTGGGACTCTCTTCCTAACTCTGAGTTTAATGGTCATGTTAGCAGTTTGAAATCGTCACAGTGGGAATATTAATAATTAGAGTATGGAAATCAGTATATGCTATGAATCAAGGCCGTCTTTCCTCTAAACCAGCCCCTAGCCTGTTTACCAGCACATCACTGTCTAAACCCCTTTTCAACTGTAACACCCATTTGGATATTAATAATGTACTGACTTGTGACATCTCTTGCTTTTCAAATATGGTGAAGTGGGGAGGACAAGTGCTCCTGATCCACACTGCATCTCGATCGCCAGCCTTTCAAAGGGGGAAGGGTCCTAAGAAATAATTTGGTCCATCGTCTTCATTTCACACATGGGGACAAAGAGGTCCAGAGGCCTTCAGTGACTGGGTTGTTAGTTGTGAAGTCAAGACAAAGAAAGTCCAAGGTTTTTTGTCTTACATCCATTATCAAAATGTAGGCCTTCCTGTTTGCCTTTTTTCAACCTTTTGTTTTCTCCACTTTTGGTACAAAACAGCGTTTCAAAATGACTGTTGAATCATTTTGAACGGCTAATGGCCAAGACCCAAGATGACAATATTTATTTTCACCCAGGGGCTCTGGGGCTGCGAAGTTCTCCAGCATTAGATCATTCCAGATGGGGTCTCACGAATGTGGCAGCATGGGGGGGAACAGCTGTGGACAGAGAGGACTTGCTGCCGTTCCACAGAAACACGATGATGTTGGAGTGAATGTTGGCTGCTCTGTGTGTTATGTCACTGAGAATGAAACAAGATGGCAGCTGAATTGCAAGGAAAGCTTGCAGATCTATAAAAATGAAAAATACACCATTTATTTTTTGACATAGCTGTTCTATTTCCTGGAACACCCTGGAAGTGAGTATTAGGATATTCATTGCAACCTTGTTTGAACTACTAAAAGACGGGAAACAATCTAAATGCCTAGCAATAGGGGACTAATTAAATAAGTCATAATACACACAGAGAGGCAGAACTCTGTGCTATTATGGAATTATCTCCAAGACACATTGTTTAGTGAGAAAGATAGGAGAACAGTGTGTATAGTTTTCTACCACTTGAGTTAAAAAAAGAAGAGGTGAGGAAAACACACAGATACATGAATGTATGAGTATAATGTATCTTAGAAAGATATACAAAAAAATTGTTACACAAGAAGTTGTCTCTGCAGAGGGGAACTGGAAAACAGTGGTAAGAGGGAGGCTTATTTTTCACTGTATGTCTTTGGGAACAATTTGATTTTTAAAACCATGGGAATCTATTACTTATTAACACCCCCCACCCCTCTCTCTCATAAATATATTCTTAAGTATATGCTATGTTTCAGGACCTGAAAATTCTTCCTTTGTTCTTGTGGATGAGCTGGATCTGGGAGGTGGCAGGGAGTTTATAGAGAGTTACTAATAGTAAACTCCTGACAAATATATACTTTTTAAAAAAACAACAACATTTCAAAGAGCAGTCTGTTCCACTCTTCCAAGTTTGGGACAAGTATTTCCCTATTATACAGCCGAAGGACTTGAGGCCCAGAGGCAGGCCATTTTCCCAAGGTTCCACAGGGAGTAAGGGCAGGGCTGGGATGGGAACTCAGATCTTGCTCAGTCATACGCTCCTTCCATGAGACCATATTTAGCTGAGCAAAGGCCTTCAAAAAGCAGAGTGGTTTTCATGGGAAGGAAAGTTCTGAGAGGTTCTTCTGGCCTCAGGTTTCAGGAGAGTTAAAGCCCTGAGCCAGCTCGAGCCCCAGCGCAGATGAAGTCAGATCAAAATAGACACCAC